CCATCTGTGGACAGATGACAAAACTAAGATCATTTGACGTATGAAAAGCATATCTCATGACCTAGAGGGCGGCATCTTTTAAAAATACATTGCTACTTACACCTGTATTGCAGAATTTACGGTGTGTTCCCATTCTATCAGCTCTGGTAACTAAATAATTGATATAATATCTGTGGGCTACAACAAACTCCGAGTGCGACGAGCATTTGCACTTTGGGAGCGTTCAAGTATTACGTAACGAATTTTGGGGGGTCCTTTTGTAAAACGTAATGATGCGGGGCGGGGATTGAATTACGCGTAACTTTTAGGTATAAAGAGTCACTAGGTGGCCACGAAACGTTTTAATATACTTGGGTACAAGAAAACGTTACGGCGCGCTACATGGGGGGGGCAATAATCTCCAAAAATTGCGTGACGTAATACTTAGACGCTCCCTTACCAAGTTGTTAAGTGGAACGGAGAACAATCCAGCAGTGCTCCAGTGCCTCAGGGTGAATGATGGTTACGTCAGGAGGAGACCACCGTTACTATTCGTACCTTCAGCGAAAACTAACCTCTCGAAAAGGGCACACATGATGATGAATGTATAGAAATAATGAATGAACTAGATTAACAGAGGTTTTTATTTGTCCATTTAGTGAACAAAATGTTCACTAAACACTTCTGTTGTTGTTTTTATATATGTATTGTTTTGTAATAGTTACTGCATTGGAGTAATCTGTAACTGTAGCTTAATTTGTAAAATAAAAAAATCTAATAGCGTCATAAATTAGTAGAAAAAAGATGCCGGCCAGCCATAGCGAAGGTTAATACAATTTATATTGAGCCTAAAAGCCAACCAACTAAAACAAATATAAACTCCAAGCGTGGCTCAAAGCGAAGATAGAAATTAGTATAAATTTTTTTACTACTTAAATGTATTTTTTTAAATTACTTTCAAACAGTGTACAATAAAAATAAATAATAAAAAAGCAGCGTCTGTTCTCAACAGTACAATCTCGCATCCTTACATTCTTCAGACACATCAGTCCATAGAACGCCTTGACGTCAAGGGAAAGGTAGAAGAAAGGTGAAGCATCTGCCCCTTCTAATATAACTACTATATAGCGATTACGACCGACTGGTACACACCAGGATAATTAAAAATACAAAACATTTTATTTCACACACACAAGGCTAGTGATAAATTAAAAAACATAAAGTTATAAATACTTTATTTGTACAACGTACATACATGATTATTCTAACATCGAACGTGTACTTTAAGACTTAAAACTAATAATTATTTCCAATTTAAAACACAAGATCCATAGAATCGCTTAGTGCTAACTATGAGTGCTACGAGCCATCAATTTAAAAGGGTCTCAAATATATTATAGTTAGAGAGCGTTCAAGTAGTACGTCACGCAATTTTTGGAGATAATTGACGCCCAATGTAACGCGCCGTAACGTTTTTCTGTACCCAAAAGTAAAACGTTGCGTGACCACCTAGTGACTCTTTATACCTTAAAGTTACCATTATGTGGTGTAAAGTACTGGAAGGTCGAAAATAATATTAACAATAACGCGTAATTTAATCCCCGCCCCATCGTAACGTTTTATAAATAGACCCCCCCTAAAATTCGTTACGTAATACTTGAACGTTCCCTTAATCGAGTAGTCAAAAACTATGGAGAATGTTGTTAAAATTAGCAATTTATATATTTCCTATCGAATAGAGCGTATTTGGGCCCTATACAAGTTATTCTATTAAAATTTACACAAAAATATTTTTGAAGTGAAACTTCTTTATCGAGGTTGGAAAAAAATTTAGTGTAACATTTTTTCGTTTCGCGTCACATTTTTCGGTTACGCGCCATGTTGCTTTTTGAAGTCAAACTTCTTTATCGGCGTTGGAATGAAACTTCTTTATCGACGTATGGGAGAAATTTTGTAGCAAATCGTCACGTTTTTCAATGATAGTAATAATTCTATTACAATTAATGAAATTCTATAATAATCTTCGTAGTAATAAGGTAAAATGAAATATTTGTATTCATGTCTATGATAATAAAAGCCTTTTGTTAAACTTTATCTAATTTAACGAATTTCTGTAAAGTTGCATATAGTACATGATTTTTCGAAAAATAAGATCTTATTTCTTAGTTTCACTTCTTACAACTTCTTAACTATTAAAACGACCAAATACAAGCATTTGGTCGAGTCCTACTAAATTTGATTCTACCCTCAATACTGAAATGGCAATACAAAAATTGCATTAGAACTATTTCAATGAGTATTAAAAATAATTTTTTAAGAGTACCAAGAATAAATTTGCTCCAAATTTCAATACAAAATTGATTTAATGATTTTTGACTAGTTCCTAAATTTTGATCAATATGTGATTATATTATATCCTACAAAATGATTTATTTACCTAAATAGGAAAATCAAACTTTCGCAATTATAATACATACATATTTTTTCGACATAGTATTACAAGTCCCTTGAATGTCGTTATATGCGGATTCTACTGTATATATTTATATATATATATATAATTTTATGTATATCTTTTATGGAATTTACTATCAAGTTTGTTATGGAAGAGCTAGGAACCCTGTCACAATTTTTTTTAACTTGGGTTCCCATATCTTACATATAATTTTTCTTCATGAAATTTTATTTTTGAGTATTGTCCTCACCTCATTTTCACAATAAAAATTTCACATTCTTCACTTCAGCACTATATACGTTGTATAAATCATAATAAATTTCAAAAAAAAAAATTCCTAAACCGAAATGGTAGGTTATTGATAACAAAAGCAAAAATAACTTGATTTCAATTATTTATATTTTTGTAGAGGTGATTAACCTGGCATATACATCTTTTGCTGGGAATCAAACCTTCCAACGCCATTTGCGTTAACTACTAAGCAATGGAAGCATTTATACAGACAATTTACAGAAATAAATATATTACATTATTACGAATATATTTGTTTAATAAAATCTACCATTTGTTCTAATTCTAAAAATTTACCAATAAATCACTAAATCACTGTTTTAACTAATTCACTGCTTAAGATTTTTCATAAACAGCCTAATTAAATCAACGTTTTAGTTATTATGAATAAATTAGTTAATGTTTGATTTATAAGTAGTTATGAATAAATAATCTTTCTCTAGTAGTTGATTTTAGATAGTAAAGAGACTTTTGACTTAAAAAGTGATCAGTAAATTCATAAAAAAACTGCGGGCCTAGAAATATTTATTAACAATTTAGTGATTTTAATGAAAATCATTAATTTAATTATCTCTACATAGATAAAATTGTCACAATGTTCGTTCCCATACTCCTCCGAAACGGCTTGACCGACTCTTATGAATTTTTTTATGCGTTTTCAGTAAGTCTGAGAATCGTTTAGTATCTTTCAAACCTCTAAGTGATAAGGGGTGTCCCCAAAAAAATATTTTTTATTTTGTCGACAATTTTTTTGTTTTTATTTTTTTATGATACAGCATACAAAAATACATACAACCCTTAATTTTCATCTACCCTCTACGATCAAGCCCTCATTCTGATTGAAATTTTTTTTTTAGGAAAACGTTTGGCCCCAAAGGCCATCTCTGCAACTTCCCGCTAACTCCATACCTAAACGCTCAACATATCACTTATTTAGTTTTTGAGCTCTTTGAGTTCAAAAGTAGGAATTCTGTGTTATTTTGAGTTCTCCGAGCTCAAAAAGATAGCTTCTTACGCGTTTACGTAAGAAACCCACATTTTGAAAAATCTCACGTGAGATTGGGTGATGGGGTTGAATAAAATCTCACGACATCTCACCAGGGGGGGAGGGAAAGAAAATTAAAAAAAACACCTCACTGAAGAACTTATAACTTGAACTCTGAGGTTTATATAGAGAAAAATCCACAAAAAACCTAGAGAGAGTAGTAGTAGTAGTAGTCTCCGGGGTAGCATAGCAAAATGTTCCATGTTGGTATGTACTAAAAAGGTAGGCTAAGTAAAATCACATTAATGAGAAACGAAGTTCGCTGGGGCAGTTAGTACTATCTAAAATCAACTTGAATCCACGACTATTATAGTCACAATTGTCTTAATACCACCGTTAACCGTTTGTACACTATCCTTGCACTATACACTTGACACTACACTATACACTAACACAATTTTTGATTTTTCTCCTTGCCAAATGCATCTGTAACAAATTTAAATATTTATAAATTTTCTTACATTATAAGCTTAGATTTGGAAAGAATTTTTTATTAAATATACAGCTTGAAATGTGTGTTCAATAGTAATGTCTTTTATTAACATAACTTAAACATTTTTTAACAGATTGAAGCTATGTATTATTATAAACTTATAAAGTACTTGCGAAAGAAAAAAGATTATTTCCAAGATTGGTACGCGAAGCCATTGAAATAAAAAAACACCCCAATTTCAATAGAGAAGACGGCATACAATTGTCAAACACCTGGGATCCAATAATATCCAAATTAAAATCTCAAAAAGAAAAACAATCCGCGAAAACAGAGGACACCGTAAGCCATTTTTGCCAAAACCCTCCATCTTTTAGTCGATACCAACTCCGGGGAAATAAATACAGATAATGCAACTTTCTCTACAGTAATTGTAAATACATAACTTCAATCCGGTAAAAAAAGTGTTTTACTTTTAATGTGTGTTCAAATTTATATGTATTGAATGTCAGTATATATAGTATTTGTATTAGCTGCTCTAGATAACTAAATATATGAGAGGGTAAGAACCTAAAAACTCTAACACATAAATAGTGAATATATTATATGTATGTGATGCAACAAGAGACCTAAGGTAACAGACGGAGTCCTGCTAGGATCAGAGGTTCAAAGTGGTGGGATTAAGCAAGCTGTAGTTTGTATACCTGCAGGTCGGTCCGGTGGGAGCGGTCGCACCCTTAGCGGAGTGCGGCCCCCGCAGCCAAGTCCACGCACAGGACCGCCGCGGGGGCGGCGCGCCCTCAGCTTCGCCGGTGCCGGCCTCCGCGACGACGCCGGTCGCGACGTACCTTTAAGTAAATAAATTATAGCCATATTAAAAAAAAAATCTGTTGTAAAACAAAAAATGTTAAATTGCATTTTCTGTTGTAAAACAAAAAATGTTAAATTGCATTTTCTGTTTTAAAACAAAAAATGTTAAATTGCATTTTTCTGTTGTAAAACAAAAAATGTTAAATTGCATTTTCTGTTTTAAAACAAAAAATGTTAAATTGCATTTTTCTGTTGTAAAACAAAAAATGTTAAATTGCATTTTTCATATGTGAAATGTAACTGCTTACTGGCATCGCTTCCCCATCAGCCCAGCGCTCGTATGCCCTTTCGCGCTTCAACCACTCCTGGTATTTGTACCACCATTCCTCCCACTTCACATAATCACCTAGAGATAGGCCTGAAATGTTTTCTAGTATTAGTTAGTGCACAAGATGGTGTTAATACAACAAGATGACATTAGCGGACGTTCATTTTTATTACTGCGACAGATATAAATCATAAAAATGTCAACTCCAGTGTAATTGTTAATTAATTGAAATAAATATTATAATAATAAATCTAATTAAAATTAAAAGTAAAATAAACAAAAACTTAATAAATATTTATTCCCAATAAATTATAAGAATTAAACAATCAATCTAAAACCTAATTTAAAGTTGTTATTAAGACAAATAAACATTAAATTTATTTTTATATGAGCAGTGTTGGCCTAGTGACATCAGCGAGCGACTCTCATCCCTGAGGTCGTAGGTTCGATCCCGGCTGTGCACCAATGGATTTTCTTTCTATGTGCGCATTTAACATTAGCTCAAACGGTGAAGGAAAACATCGTGAGGAAACCGACATGTCTTAGACCCAAAGTCGACGGCGTGTGTCAGGCACTGGAGGCTGATCACCTACTTGCCTATAAGATTTAAATGATCATGAAACAGTTTCAGAAATCTGAGTCCAAGACCTAAAGAGGTTGTAGCGCCACTGATTTTTTTTTATAATCTTAGAAAAGTTTATTATTGGCTAAAGCCCTCACCCCTAAGATATCCTCGCCTCTTGTAATAGTCGTATCTGACCCTGACATCATCCCACGACGGTAGACCACCAGGAGCGACAGCCAGCAACTCCTCTGGGTAACTCCCTATGGGAGCTGGTTCCAAACCACTGGAATGATTACAATTAATTTCATATAAAATCAGTGGGAGACAGTGGGGGCTTATGTACGCGCGTAAGAAGTTATACTTCTTTGGCATTATTAATAATACATACGGATAGTTAACCTCAATTGTATTGAAGCACTTAGGAAGGTTGATGAGCACAGGTTTTTCACAAATATTTTTTAATATTAATTAGTATTGATTTAAATATTCAATTTAAATCACGTCTGATTATAATTCAGACGCACTTGTATAATGAAAACCCGTGTTTTAAATGTAGAAACTCAAAGCATGTGGATTAATATTATAAATATAAATACACAGTGAACAGAGGCGGCGTGCGTGCCAACGTGCGCCACTAACTTCATTCTGTTAAGTTTGTGTCACGGTGCGCGCGCATCGTAAAATTTCACTCTCATCAATTTTTCATAACGCGCCTAAAGAAGTGTAACTTCATTCTGTTAAGTTTGTGTCACGGTGCGCGCGCATCGTAAAATTTCACTCTCATTAATTTTTCTTAACGCGCCTAAAGAAGTATAACTTCAATAAGTGGGCAACTTCATTCTGTTAAGTTTGTGTCACGGTGCGCGCGCATCGTAAAATTTCACTCTCATCAATTTTTCATAACGCGCCTAAAGAAGTGTAACTTCATTCTGTAAAGTTTGTGTCACGGTGCGCGCGCATCGTAAAATTTCACTCTCATCAATTTTTCTTAACGCGCCTAAAGAAGTATAACTTCAATAAGTGGGCAACTTCATTCTGTTAAGTTTGTGTCACGGTGCGCGCGCATCGTAAAATTTCACTCTCATCAATTTTTCATAACGCGCCTAAAGAAGTATAACTTCAATTAGTGGGCAACTTCATTCTGTTAAGTTTGTGTCACGGTGCGCGCGCATCGTAAAATTTCACTCTCATCAATTTTTCATAACGCGCCTAAAGAAGTATAACTTCAATTAGTGGGCAACTTCATTCTGTTAATTTTGTGCCACGGTGCGTGCGCATCGTAAAATTTTACTCTCATCAATTTTTCATAACGCGCCTAAAGAAGTATAACTTCAATTAGTGGGCAACTTCATTCTGTTAAGTTTGTGTCACGGTGCGCGCGCATCGTAAAATTTCACTCTCATCAATTTTTCATAACGCGGCTAAAGAAGAATAACTTCAATTAGTGGGCAACTTCATTCTGTTAAGTTTGTGTCACGGTGCGCGCGCATCGTAAAATTTCACTCTCATCAAGTTTTCATAACGCGCCTAAAGAAGTATAACTTCAATAAATCTTTTATTTATATTCAATATGCCTCCGATACAAAAAATTAAAGCGGTCATACAATTCGACTCCATTTTGCCATGTATATTATTTCCAGGAAATATTTTTTTATTTCAATAAAAATAACTATATACAATAATAAAAAAATAGGGGTTGATTGTAGAGGAGTGAAAATTAGGGGTTGTATGTATTTTTGTATGCTGTATCGTAAAAAAATAAAATCAAAAAAATTTTTTTTTTTTGGAGTGGACACACTTAGGGCCGGTTTTTTGATCCGTAGTTAACTCAACTATTGGTAAAAAATCGTTACTATTAGTTAAATATCAGCAAAATGCGTTTTTTGATCCGTGGTAAGAGCATCCAATGGTAAAATATCTAACCATTAGTCAAAAAAGTTAACTACTCAGTATCGGAGGGTTAAAAAGATGGCCGCTGGTAATTTATATAGTAACAGCTGTTTGTCACAGAAATCAAACTATGATGAATACGTTTATTACTATCTAATGATGAATTTAAACATATTGAGATACTTTAATTAATGAGACGATGAAGAAGACGATAATATTATATGAGAATGTGTTAATGAGTGACCAAAAATATTTAGGCAATGTCATCCGCCATTAGAAACCTGGGATGATGTAAATTTTTGTCACTGTTACCCCCTATCGAAGGGAACAGTGCTCTGGATTGTTACTGAAATTGGGAATGATCTTAAACTGCCAATGAACAAGAGTATATATAGACAGCAGCTCATACCAACCTATTTTGCTTCATTACTAACTACAGAACCGCAGCAGTATATAATTAAGTACATTACTAATTCATTATGTGTTTTATTGCCTATAATATTAACTTATAATTATTATAATTAAATAAAATACAAGAACAAGAGTATATATAGACAGCTGCTCATACAAACCTATTTTGCTTCATTACTAGCTACAGAACCGCAGCAGTATATAATTAAGTATATTACTAATTCATTATGTGTTTTATTGCCTATAATATTAACTTATAATTATTATAAGTTAATATTATAGGCAATAGAATACATAATGAATTAGAGTTAATATTATTTATATATTACTAATAATATTAACTTATAATTATTATAAGTACATACAAGTATGTACTTATACTAAAAACTACAGCTACACATTAGTTAGGGACCTATGATATTCTTTAGGGCTTTTATTACATTTGTGAGTTAGCATCTACCTACTTTATTACAAGAATTTATAAATAAAACATTTGACTTGATTAATAAACTGTTTAATTATAACTTAAATACAAACCATTTTTATTAAAAAAACATTACAAAATTGACATGAAACCCTAAAGTAGCAATTAAATATTTTCTAATTGTTTCTTCTTGCATTTCTCCTCAATTTGATGCAACTCTTTTGCTGCTACATATATTTATTGTGCCTTTCTTCCATCTGCTGCATCACTTTTTGGTGCACCTCCTCTTTATGCAGTATGAATTTTTGGTGGGCCTCTCATTGGTGCAGCAAATATTTTTGATGCTCTTCCTTAGCATAATTGAACAAATCATCCTCTCTTATTTGTCTTTGTTTCAAAAACTCAATTTTTTTTATCCGTGTGGATCATAATCCGCTTCCTTGTTTCCAAAGGGTTAAAAGATTTTTTTCTTGTTGTAGGACACAGCTATACAAGAATAAATATAAAAATGTGCCTACACCTTCATTAAATGTATATTAAATTTAACACTTCGGTGTCTAGACCCATCTGAGTTGAAAACGTCACAGAGATTTCCAAGCTGCATCTTTTTGTAGATTGCTGCAGTGATCAGTTGTTTGCAGGTTACGACTGTGTTATCCTTGAGAAGCATCACCAGTTTGGCAGTTTCTTTTTTGGCGAAGTTAGCAGTATGGTCCCTTTAACAAAACATAAATGTATTACTTTCTATTACGAAACACAAGATAAACCGGAATAAATAACACGAAAATATGTTTGTACTTACTTATTTGACCGTTGGCTGTTTGCGGACATCGTTATTTATATATTTAAGTATCGTAAAAAGTGTAAACCGTATTAAATCACAGAAAAACAACTTTATTTATATCGTGTTATTTAGATTAATTTGACACTTCAAACTCTTCAAAGCGCAAATAACGAATGAAGATGGCAAAAATGGATTTCATTCACTCAATATGTCTAGTGTTGTCATACAAAATAAATGTTCCCCAAAAAAAGGACCACATTTTTTGGGATGTCATTGCTCATTGCACTGGCAACAAATTGACAAATTGTTAAGTTTAACTATAGTTAAAAAAGGCATTGAAAAACGCATTTACGATTTTACCAATGGTTATTCATTTAACTATAGTTAATGTAACAAATGGTAAAACCATTTTTTACTACGGATCAAAAAACTGGCCCTTAGGGGTTTGAAAGATAGATAAGGGGGCGTCCATAAATTACGTGAGGTGTTTAAGGGGCGGAGGTGTTTTTTTTTCCAAAAATTTTAGGAAAAGGCCTAAAGGCCATCTCTGCAACTTCCCATCCATACCTAAACGCATCAACATTTCACTTATTGAAGAGCTCTAAAGTACGAATTCTGTCTTATTTTGAGTTCTCCGAGCTCAAAAAGATAGCTTGTTACTGGTTTACGTAAGACGTTTTGAAAAATCTCACGTGAGATTGGGGGTTGAATAAAATCTCACCAGGGGGGGAGGGAGTTACAGAAAATTTAAAAAAACACCTCACGTTTTATGGGGACGCCCCCTAAGTAGGTTTGCGTATCGGACATCTATTTTTCACCCTCCTAATTTTTTTGAAGTTATACTTCTTTTGGCGCGTTAGGGAAAAATGATGAGGGTAAATTTTTATAATGCGCGCGCACACCGTCACAAAAAACCGACACCTTGAAGTTAGCTATAGTCTTAGACATATAGATATCTTCTACACTTACGGTACATCATCATCAGGTCTTTCCCCGGGACTCAAAGACCTGGGCCTGGCTTCCCTCGGGGCCGGGTCGATGTGGACATCGAGGCCTGCTTCGCGTCTTGTTATTCTCATATTCATGTTTTCCACTCGAGCTGATCTCGCAGCCGACCATTGCGCCATCTTGCCGAAACGCTCGGAGAGTGTAAGCCTATAAAAGTTTTTTTCTTTATGAACAATGCCAGAGGAGCGCGAGTGCGTTGCCGGCCTTTTAAGAATTGGTACTTATAGAACAGGGATCAAACGGGCAGGAGGCTTATCTGATGTTAACTGATACCGCTTATGGACACTCCCAATGCTAAAGAGTCGCGAGTGCGTTGCCGGCCTTTTAAGAATTGGTACTTATAAAACAGGAGGCTTATCAAATGTTAAGTGATACCGCCCATGGAAACTTAATTCCAAAGGGGTCGCGAGAGCGTTGCCGGCCTTTTAAGTTACATAAAATGCCTCCTTAGAGATTAGTTGGCTTAGGTAGCAATAGTTGAACCCACCTCTGTGGCGGAGGGGAAGCACTTGCATCACTTTCGGAGTCAGACTCGCTCTCAGCCAGGGCAGCGGCAATGGCTGCCGGGGAAACCCCGCGTTCGGGTCTGTCCGGCCTCTCTCGGCGTCTCTCGCCTTCCCTTTTTATTTGCGCCGGGGGTATGGGCGGGGTCGGACGTACTGCCAGCTGGGACCGTTGCCATTCCAACACCTGGAATTTTGGGGATTTAAAAGTATGAAGAAGTGTTCAAAGGGTTGAGCACAGTGGAAAACCAGAAAGTGACCAAAATATCACCACACCGACTTGTCTATAATAATAATAAATAATTTATTTGCAAAGAAAGTGGTACATTCAGATTGATTAATAAAGAAACCTCACAATCTGTTACATAAAAATAGCCCGGCAAAGTCATTCATAACTGTTGTCAAAACTTATGGTCCAAATACTGTCCCTATAAACACACCTAGCCTTTAAATATAACTTCTGGGAAGGTGATTAAATAGTTTGATAGCTAGCACCCACAGCTGTGTTGGTTTGAGAACAGGCAGTCAATGTAAAAATTTAAGCATTTAATGTTTTTTTTTGACGTTCATAACTGTACATTGTGTTACCTAAATGAATAAAAGATTTTGAATTTTGGATCCCTCGGTAGATTAAGGGAAGTTATTAAAAAAAATCACAAAACAGTAGAGTAGAGATTGTAGCTATTTATTGTCTCTAGTGCTGCATTATGTATGGATGTGTTTTAGTGAAGCTATTACGGGATGGCAATACCAAGTTTTCATCCCTATTACTTTCCGAGAAATTTGTGAACAATCATACATATATCCAAATACAAAACATATGTTCAGCTAAACGGCATCATAATCAAATAGTATCCATCACATATAAAGCTCAAACTCTTTCTTCTTTTTTGTAGTCGATTAAAACAAATATTACATAAAATTCACAACAAAAGAATTAAAAAGTTACAAATATTTATTTTGATAATGTTAAGTTAAATCTTACCTTTTCCTCTCGAGTACGCTTGCTGGCTTCCCTCGCCTTGAGCAGTTCTCGAGTGGGTAGCACCACTGCGCCACTGGAACCAGATGGACGCTTCGATGGTGACGGAAGAACTCTAAAAATATTAGTATAAATTGTATATAAATTCCAAAAATAGTCTATTTAGGTAAAACATTTTATTTGAGACACTAAAGAATACTAATAATATTGTAAGGTGATTAATATAAGATTTAAAAAACTATAATTTTTTTTACTAATTTATAATACTCATACTCATAGTATCACAATACAGGGAAATGTCAATATTAAAGGTAAAGGCCCACAGGGGCCGAACTTAAATTTCTTTTAGTTTTAATTTAATAATTATTACTATGTAGGTAAATAAAATATTGTAAATACTGTATATAATATAAATGTATCTCTTATGATTAATGGTATTTAATATAGTGTGTACCTATAATAAATATAAACTGCTTCAAAATTTACATTCGCTGCCAGTTCGACGCCAAAGCATTCAGAAGAAGAAAGAACAAGTAATAGCTCTTTAAAACTGTTATTAAAGTTAATTAATAAATATGTGTAAGGAGCTGCTTAAAGCAATTCCAAAAGTAGTAGAATTTTTGTATTGATATTGTTCTCTTGCCAAATTACATGAATTGTATGGAGAAATACCGGTCAAAAGGTTTTTTTTAATTATTATTTATCAATAACTTTAATGAAGTATACCACATCATACATAGTACTATATTTACCGTATATGGTTACAAGCTATCTTTTCTAAAATATATGCCAGTTTTGGTAAACTAACAGGTTACAAAAAATTAAATAAAAATACTTCATTTGTTGTAGGCAAAAGGCACTTAACAATGCTTTCTTTAAAATCGATCAGCCCACTACCGAATATATCCAGCTGTGGATAGAGAGATGTCTGAACTCCTCTGGTTTCTCTTAGTTTTTGCAGACGGAATTTGAAAAATTCTTTATTAATCCCTGTCAGAACAGCTGTTACTTATTAAATGATAACAATTTTTATCTATATTAAAACAATACTCACGGAGGCTTTACACCTGGTGGTGGTTTGGGTGGAGCAGTCTTCTTGTTCTTAGCCGAACAAACAGAACATGATTCATCCGAGCAACTGCTTGCTGATGACCCCGAAGAAGACTGTAAGTTAAATAAAATTTTAACGCAGATACTAAATCTGTCAACATTATGTATACTCTGATTTTTAATTCCGTACAATTCTGACATTTCATAAATGTTGCCACTAAAAAAGTTCTTCACCGAAAAATGGACAAATTTGTCCCATTTGAGGGCAATATGTTTGTATGTTTTACCTACAAAAAGGTAAATCTAAATATTTACGTACTCAAGTGACCTAATACAAAAATAACAAATATTTCAACATCACGAACAATATATCGAATTAACTTTAATTACTTTATTTTATTCTTTAGCTGGCATCACTGCCTACTAATTCCAGGTTTAGTAAACCTTTTAAAAAAAATAAAATGTTATCTTTACTTGTGCGTTTTTTACTGTTTGTGATGAAAAGGGGCGTAATTATCACTCGCCGTTAAAGAACTTTTAATGTGGAACCGCAACTAATAAAATGGATACATTCACTAACAAACAAAATGTTTGTATAGAGTTAGATGCTGACTCGGATTGAAATTGAAAAATGTACCGGGCCAAAAAGGTTTGTAATCTCTGAAATGTCAAAAAATGATGGCTGTCTATTGGCTCATATTATACATGGGGGACATGTATGTATGTATATGTGGATAACTGAATTTTTTAAAGAATACGGCAAACGAGGCTACGGAACGCACAAAAAGTGCAGTCATAGCAGCCCATGGAAACCTATTTTAGTGGGTGCGTTGCCGGCCTTTGAGGGAGGAGTTTTTATTAACAAATGAAGGTCGTATCTCCCAAAGACCAGGAGTCGTTTCCACAATTCAAATTAGCATTCAAGATAGGAAAAGAAAGTGATGGTGAATCATCAATCATCTCAAAAACTACTAAACCAATTTTGATGAAAGTTACACTGTTCTTTACGTTGGAATTTAATTAAATTTGATAGACTTCTATCAATGAAATTTGTGGTCAAACATACAAAACATGTAATATTCTTAAAATGTTGGTTAATAAAATTCTACCCTTAAATAATTTTTACAAAATTTTTGCCTCAAGGCATACATACAGTTAATACCTTTCTAGGGTCAGGTGGGCTGGGCGGCCTATTCCTGGGCGGAGGTGGAGGCCTAGCCCGCTTGGGCCTAGCTGGGACGGGGCTCCGCCGACGGGGACTTCGCACTGGGCTGCTGCGTCTGAAACACAAGTCATTTTACATTAATTTTGAGAACAATATGGGAAATGAAAACAAAATTAACATTTTTAATCATAAACAAAAATAACAACGGTCCTAGATTTGAACCCTGGCTAATACCAACACTTGTTCCATATGGCTTCGAGTTATATTGTCTGTATTTAACATATTGCTTACGATTCGATAGACAGCTAGAAAAAAATTAAGCAGATCAAGTCCAGATCTAATTGCGGTTAACTTTTGGAGATCAATGTCATTAACTACCCAATCAAATGCTTTACAAAAATCCAAATATACTACATCTACCTAAGGGAGCATTCAAGTATTACGTCACGCAATTTTTGGAGATTATTGTTACATTTGGGTCAATCTCACTCAAAACACACCTGACAGGACTTCTTCGTGGAGACCGCCTAGGGCTTCGCCGTATTGACCGTGAGCGCGATTTCCGCGGCGACCGGCGTACGGGTGACCGTGACCGACGAATGGGTGACCGTGATCTGCGGATAGGCGAGCGACGTACCGGTGACCTTGACCGGCGCGTTACGGGTGAACGTGACCGACGACCGACTGGTGATCTGTAATTTTAAAAATACTTCAGCATTCATTTATTTTTATAGGATTTTATGATTTTTGTTAAATCTTATGAATTTCTGTCTGTCTCTTTTTACTTATTCAAATTTTAATTATTCTTAAGTTTTTATCAAAATTGAAGATTGATATTAAATTTAAAAATTAAAATTTGAAAATTGAAATAGAAAATTAATTTAAATTAGAGTCTAATACTACATTTAGATTGTGAAAAAAAGTCTAATTCACATATTAATTATAATTTTTTCTTTATCATTATACTTTTTATCTAAATTAATAATTGATATTAAAATTAAAACATTTGTCTCATTATCTTGAAACCAATAATTTTTAAAGTTTCACTTCTACCACATGTGCATTGCACACTTATTATAGCACGTCTGCTCCTCAGCATAATGCTGAGCCAGGGCCAGTTACAACCACAACACACACGCATTACACACTTAAAATGTACCTTTCTTTTTAATTTTTTTTTTTAAATAAACTGCAAAACATACATTTACTTAGACACAACTAATGTAACAAAGCAATCAAATCATAAAATTTAATTAAACAGAATAAGTATTTGTAAGTATACTATTGTTGAATATAAATATTGAAAAATAATTACCTAGAACGCCTCGGAGACCTGGGTGAACCACCTCCATCGAGATACAGCTGCTTGTATCCAGTGTGTCGCCATCTACAAAGTAATAGGAACTTAATAACATACACTTGTGTTAGAACCCGGATCTTAACGTCCAAAGAATTAATCAATCTAAATCTACCACTTTCTTTGCAAATAAAAGATTTATTATTATTTATGTTGACCTAAATTGTCATATATTTTAGAAAAGATAGTAACATACTTCTTTTTGTAAAACGTTACCATGCGGGGCGGGGATTGAATTAAGAGTTATTGTTAATATTACTTTCGACTTTCCAGTACTTCACACCACATAATGGTAACTTTACGGTATAAAGAGTCACTAGGTGGTCACGAAACGTTTTACTATTGGGTACAGAAAAACGTTACGGCGCGTTACATGGAGGGGGGGGGGGGGGGTTCAATAATCTCCAAAAAATTGCGTGACGTAATACTTGAACGCTCCCTAACTCACCAAGGTAATGTTAATAAAAATCATCACCTGTTGGGATCCTTCTCCTCCACCTGCAACAGTTTTCTATCCCAGCTGCCAGGTGAGGCCTGCCTGGCTCTCTTCATGACATTGTCAATCTCCTTGCGGCGACCAGCAGGATTTGATGGATCTGTTACAATTTATTAATTATTTAGAAATAGGTTAGGTCTGCGAAGTTAATCACTGAATACTTAGAGAAAGATTTTCTGTAATATATGTAACGCATGTTCCATGAAAAATTTAACTATGGATAATTTAATATATAAAATTCCCGTGTCACTGTCAGTTTCCCATACTCCTAAACTGCTTGACCAATTCTTATGAAATTTTTAAGTAAGTCTGACAATCAGCTACTATCTATCTTTCAAACCCCTAAGTGATAAGGTGTCCACCCCGAATTTTTTTTGTTATTGTTTTAAGATACAGCATACAAAAATACATACAACTCTTAATTTTCACCACTACGATCAGCTCTACTTTTTAATTGTATTTTAAAACCTATTGACTTGAACTCTGAGGTTTATATAGAGAAAAACTCACTGAACAACTTAAAAAAAATTCATTCCGTAAAACCTAACAGTCTCCATGTACTAAAAAGGTAGGCTAAGTAAGGAGAAACGAAGTTCGCGGGGGCAGCTAGTTATATATATTTTTCTGACTGTATACATAATGCTTTAACTTTAAATGTGATACAAATGAATACCAAACAAATATTACCAGTAATCTTGGCATGCTGTGGATTCCTGTCCATATGTAGTCTGTTCTTAGAAGCGGTTTCCGCAGCGCGGGACACCGATCCGTTACGTCGGGACGACATTCTGCAATTATTTGTCTTGTCTTAAATATGTATTTGTATTAATGGAAAATATAAATGTAGAAAAGTGTATCATAGGTGTTCTCAAGTTGAGACATGAAGCCGGAGCCTTACAACAAGTCTATACTAATTTTAATTCGACCATAAATAGCTAGAGAATAAATGTCTTGCCGTTCCAAGCCTGGGAAGGCTGTTAATAAGCAATCATTTTTCTATTAAAATTAATAAAACAATTGTCAAAAGTTCTCTATTAAATAGACCAATACCACTAAGAAGTGGTGATGGATTAAAGAATATATAGTTTAACCCTTATAAGACATAATTAATGAGTTATGTAAACAAACACAAAATACAACATATCATCATATTCGTAGAATAGTGACGGATCTGACAAATAGTAAACTTTACAGGGCAGCCATTTCAATATAATTTAATCATGTTAGTTTTTGTCATAACTATTTTAAATTATATTTTGTTATTATGAAAATTGGCATACAAACAAACAAAAGGGTTTGTTTTGAAACAAAATAAAAATAATAACATTACATTACACAGTTTTCTATCAAATCCGTCACATTACATACTGATTAATTTGAAATTTAAAACACATGGAATTTTTTTTTAATGTAGCCATAATATTTAGTCAATGTAGTATCCAAATATGATAAAAAGTGGGTTTTGGATTTTTTACAAATCCATGTTCTACGATCATGACGATATAGTCATAATAGTACCTCTTGCAAATGCACACCTATTAGTATAGAAAAAATATGTGCTGTAACTCTAAATTTTTTACTGTATAATATGATCTTATTATTTAATAGACTGTCCCCAAATTTCTTTTAATCTTGAATTTGTTTTAAGATTTAACTATGTGTATTTTAATAATAAACATTTAGAATAAAAGACAGAATTTAAGTTATAATAATAAGTTTAGAGTTAACTGAATATTTATTTATTTAACACTTGATGATTCACAGCTTTAAATAATAAGATAATATTTACAAAAATATATAGCCAAACGGATTACACAATACCTTTAAACTATTAGTAGTTTCATCTATACACATTATAAATGGTTTCTAGCATAACTATCAGTTATTAATGTGGTTCAATTGAGAAAGGTGAAATGTAAATATAGACAAAGCTATAATAATTCGAAGTATACCCAGGTCAATGACCCCTACACCGAAAAGTAATGTGATGTAAACACCAGATAAATTAAATACATTTTAATTAGTAATGATTGGAACCCACTAACGAAATACTCACTCAAATTCTATAAATATTACTTTCCCAAGATGGCGGGTATCGATCGCTTCGAGCCACTCACCTAAAACTCGTGTAAAGCTTACCTAGGGTACTCCGACTTTTCTAACTGGAGCTAGGGCTCCAAACGCGTGCGCGGCTTGACGCGGAGGGGCAAAGCCCCAGGGCTCGTGCAGCGGCGTAACACGGCGAGACGCGAACGCCAACCCCGCCGCTGCAACCCAATCGACATACTTAGAAACACGACAACGCGACGCGGCGGAATCGCGATTTCCGCGGAACAATCGCGCGGACGGATATTGGCCACGCCAGGTGAACATGCAACCTTCGGGCCTACGCGACGGAGGCCTCGCGATATAGGCCAAACGATGACGAATCACCTCCTGGGTATCCCTTGTGGCATCCATAGTGCTATGTAATCCTGGCGTAGACAAATCTAAATCCACCTTATACTATCACAATACAAAGTTACGAACCAGTAAAACACCAAAACTTTCACAGATGTTCAATGATGATAAGCCGATGGTCACTCAGTAAAACTCACGACACTCCTTTCTCGAAGCATCGGCCATTTTGTGCATATTGGATTTTGTTGATTTCATCAATTTCAATTTTCAGATAATTACTTTGTCATTATAAGTTTGACGGTTGACATTTTAGTTGATCAGTTGACAACCAAGTTGCCAGTAAGCATTGACAGCTTATATCACTATCAACTGTCACATTTGTTACGTGTAATCTATTCTATAACATCAATTTAAAATATATAATATTATGTAAAGAAAACTACACTATCAACTTATAACATCGGTCACACCTGTGTAGATCGACTTTTAATTTCAATTATATTGCATGTGTAAAACCAAGCTATAGAGAAAATAGTTATGATTTGTTCATAATTTTGTTGCACATTTTTAGCTATTTGATTTGTATCATCAAAACTCTTTGGACAATTCTAAATAGTGTGTTAAACACAAAACACAACATTATAATTTTAGTACAAATTAATTTGGGAACTTATGATAACAATGATCAATGGTCATTGTACTTAATAACATTATAAATACATTTAATTAATAATTATTTATGGTGTGATAAAAAGGTTGGGTTCATTTTTTTTTGATAAAAATGTAGGTTTATTGACTTAATAATGTAAAATAAAAGCGATAACGTGCTAGGTAAATATTTTGTACAGATTAAATTTTCACTAATTCTTGAATTAAAACGATTGAATAAAACGTTTTACGCGATACTTTCATATAATAAACGACGTTTCCTCTGTCTTACATTATTATGTTAATTATATATTTGTAATTGGCGTTTTAATAGAACGGTACTAGTGGGAATTAACACGAGATCTCATAATTTAAATGCTAATCCCGTAAAGTAGACCATAAACAAATTCTAGAGTAAACGATCATATTATGTCAATATCACGTATGAACCAAAATCAGAATATTGTTAGGTAACTATTGACTTAGTTCACTTGACTAAAGATTGAATTTCCCTTGATCTATTTATTTTAATACTACTTAATAATAATCATGATTTTATTTATTTATTGGTAGCAAGGTGACAGCTCTTTCAACAGACATCGCTAGGGACAATGGCAAGCGGCAGAGATGTCTTTGATCCCTTGGAGGATGGGACGGGATTTATGGGATGCTACTTGTGGACACGTTAGCCCCGTCTCACCTCCCCAGACAGGCACAGAGCAGGCGCAAATCAAATTTAAGAGTCTTTCCTCCAACTTTAATTTTGTCCTTTTAGAAACTCTTGGGCTGTGGAGTTCAAGTGCACAGGCGCTAATTAAAGATTAAGGGCGCTTGGTAGATAGTACTGATGACCCCAAAGCTGGTGTTTTCCCTAACGAATAAGTATCGCAATACAGTGAGGAAATGCCTGCCTTAATGGTCTAGCACTGGGATGATTTTTTTTTAATGTAAGGCAAACGGGCAGGAGGCTCATCTGATGTTAAGTGATGCTGCCGAGTAGACACTTACATTGCCAGAAGGCTTGCGTTGCCTTTTGGTACGCTCTTTTCTTGAAGGACCCTAAGTCGAATTGGTTGGGAAATACTTCAGTGGGCAGCTGGTTCCACATAGTGGTGGTGCGCGGCAAAAGCTGCCTTAAGAAACGCTCAGTTGTGGAACGACGGACATCGAGGTGATACGGATGGTTTGATTTTCTTATTTGGTGATTACGTCAACAGTAATTATTAACATTTTTACCCACACATTGTCTATGCTTGAAATGCAATTTGCCCAGGAGTTCAGCTCTCATCCCTTGGGACTATGGACTGTCTGTATGTATTTAGCACACATTCGTTATGTGAAGAGAAACGTGAGGTCCACTCGTGTCAGGCACAGAAGGCTGATCACCTACTTAAATAAATCAAAAGTGCGTGCGTACAAAGTACACATGTCAGAAGTGAAACTTCTTTGGCAAACTAATTTTTAACTCTTGTTCGTATTTATACAAAGCTAAAACTTTAGATTTCCGAGACTTAGAGGGAGGGAAAAAGGAAGATATGTTAGGAATTTAATGCATTTAATTGTCATTAAAATGTTAAGAGTATCGAAAATTAATACAAATAATATTTTTTTTTTATTCGCATAAAATATAAAATACCTACTAATATTTCATAAATTCTCTTTACGAAATATTAATTTTAAAAATATAATTCCTATAAGGTTATTCACCCTTCTCACTCTCTCAATCGCTCTCTCCCTTTTCTTCGACAAAAACTCTGCACATCTACGTGACGTTCCGTAAAAAACTCTCGGTACTCTTTTAAAATAGCAAATCATCAAACAACACTTATTTTAAAACAAATCGCAAATTAATTAGAAGTAGCCTGTCTACTAGTCCCAGGCCCTTTTATCAACTAGACAATCGTTTATGGTAAGCCCTTTTTACACAGCTTTTCTGTAATTTCTTAAATTTATTAAAGAAAAGTATCCCTTTTCCCAAAAAAGAATCACTAAGTTTTATGAAAATATTATGTATGTATACAAAAATAGTGATAAGTTTACTAGAATAGAACATACGCACAATTTTAATACTCGGAACAAACGCAGGCTGCAATTTCCCCGTACTAGACTATCTAAAGTTAGTAATTGATTTTTGGGGAAAGGGATACTCTTCTTTAATAAAAAATCTCTGCCTTTTAATAAATTTAAGAAATGTATTAAAGAAAATTGCAAAAAGGCTTACTATAAAGTTAACGATTATCTAGTTGATAAAAGGGCCTGGGACTAGTGCTAGACAGGCTACTTCTAATTAATTTGCGATTTGTTTTAAAATAAGTGTTGTTTGATGGTTATTTTAAAAGAGTACCGAGAGTTTTTTACGCCGGCTTTTTCTCTCTGCCTACAGCCTCTGTCGTCTTTGCCGATGAGTAGGGATGCCTACAAATTCAAATTTAATGACGTGGAATAAGTGATACATGTATCTTATGTTCCATAATAAACGTTTTTTTTAATTTTATTTTAGATAGTCTAGTTTGTAGCGTGTGTATTAAGTGCAGTGAACAATTAAACGCATACAAATGTATTGCATGTAATAACATCGTGTTGTCGGCCTGATATGAGCTAATTAATCTGTTTCAGAGTTAATTATGTTAATTTAACCCGTATCACCTCTTCATCATTACAAGGTAAGATAAATGGATGATGTTATAACCAAAAATATGACTATTAGAAGTTAATTACCATCAAAAACATATAATAAGCTAAGGACCGCGCCTCTTTTTTTACGAATCTTCATGTTTCAATGTATTATATGTAGAATATATCATTTATTCAATCATGCTACATATGTATAATTTGTATTTACAATATTCTTAATTAACATAGTAATAATAAAAAATTTAAACAACAAATTTAAAAAGTTTGGTCCCTGTGGCAGTGTACCTTTACGCTGGCAGCATTTCCTCGCTGTATAGCGATACTTTGAGTGAGGAAAGAACCAGCTCTGGGGTCACTGGTAGTACCAGGCGCCAACTTCCAAACAACCAATCTTTAATAAGCCCCTGTGCACTTGTACCCCACGGCCCAAGAGTCTTTACTCCAAAGGGGCGATAACTACTTGAATGTATTTTTAATTCATATTAAACACACATTAAGATGACCAGCGCCACAGCACACACGCTTTACTCACTTAAAAGGTACGTTTTAAAAGAAAAAAAATGTTATCTCTCATTCATTTATATATTTCTTTGATTACTGTTGTGTGTTTCTGTGTGTGTGTTTTGTTAGTAATAAAAGTTATGTCTATGTCTATTTAGGGGTATTTGAAGCTGCTCCTAGGGAAACATTCTGTAGGAGTTTGCATCACAGAATAGACGAGTACTTGGAGTCGATACCGTCTTCACCATAAGGGCACACGGGGCCCGTGCCCAGGGCCTCCATTCTCAGGGGGCCCCGAAGGACCTGCAATTTCGACATAATGTATATAATAAAAATATAAATATATATAAATAACGTAAGAAGTGAAACTTCTTTATGATCTTATTTTTCGAAAAATGATCTACTATATGCAACTTTACAGAAATTCGTTAAATTAGATAAAGTTTAACAAAAGGCTTTTAGTATCATAGACATGAATACAAATATTTCATTTTACCTTATTACTACGAAGATTATTATAGAATTTCATTAATTGTAATAGAATTATTACTATCATTGAAAAACGTGACGATTTGCTACAAAATTTCTCCCATACGTCGATAAAGAAGTTTCATTCCAACGCCGATAAAGAAGTTTGACTTCAAAAAGCAACATGGCGCGTAACCGAAAAATGTGACGCGTAACGAAAAAATTTTACACTAAATTTTTTTCCAACCTCGATAAAGAAGTGTCACTTCAATAATATAATTTATACTTAGTATTTTTTTTAATTATAATTAGTTTTTTTTATTTTCCAAAAGGGCCCCAAATTCTTGTGTGCCCCAGCCTAGCTTAATACGGCCCTGCTTGGAGTTTCATTAATTTGTATTAAAAGATACGCTATCACAATAACTAACCGCAGAGTATTTCATTACATCACTGGCGCCGGTATTTCGCACTAGCTACACTCCCCGGCTTCGTACGAGAAACCGTGACCCGTAAACCTTAGAAGCTACTCGTATAAACCTTTTTTTATATGATAGGAGCAGGAGGCTCATCTGATGTTAAGTAATACCGCTGCCCATGGACTCATTGCCAGAAGGCTCGCAATTGCTTTGCCGGTCTTTAAAGAGTTGATACGCTCTTTTCTTGTACCCTAAGTCGAATTATAATATCTAAAAATAATATTAGTCAGATATTATGTAGCCTAACACTAACCAACAAATAAATTGTGCGTGTACTAGGTGTACACACGTAAGAATTGAAACTTCTTTATGATCTTATTTTTCGAAAAATGATCTACTATATGCAACTTTACAGAAATTCGTTAAATTAGATAAAGTTTAACAAAAGGCTTTTATTATCATAGACATGAATACAAATATTTCATTTTACCTTATTACTACGAAGATTAATATAGAATTTCATTAATTGTAATAGAATTATTAGTATCATTGAAAAAC